TCACTTGTGGCACTGCTGAATGTGGGCAGCTTTCGGGGTGCACTGCTCATGTTTCATCTGTTTACGTCACCATTACACTTAACACACCCAAGTGCCCCAGAGGGTGTGCCCAGTGCACAAAGCCATGCACTACCCAGGCTTTTGCTATATAAGCACGTATTTGTTTAATGGGACCAGTTCCATTATAACACTTCAAATCTGCTTTCTGTGTTGTAGAAAATGCCTACGTAACTTCTTAGAAGAAAAAAAGGTATCTTCCAGAAATCTGAGTTTGTATCAAGCGGAACTAGAAATGCAAGAAATGGAAAAATTCTCAGAGAGGAACTTCTTCCCCCCCTTATGATACTTACAGCAGACCTGGACTATACAAGAGACAGTGGCAGAGGAGGCACTTGAAAAGAAAGTTCATATTATACTAGCAGAAACAAGATGGAAAACAGCAGCTGGAGGTGTACAAAATGCTAATCGGACTACATTTTATTTTACAATAAGAGTATGTATCATGTAGACTGCCTAACTGCTGAGTTGCAGTGAATATCATGTTGCTCTGGCAACATGATATTCATGTAACAATATACACAACTTCAAAATAATTACAGATGGACTTTATTGAGCACTGCATCAAAGCCCAGAGGTAATATAAATAATTTAAACATGTAATTCACTTTGAAGTTATACAAATTGGTACTTACAGCTATAAAAAAGTAAAACCCACAGTATAATTACAACAGCTCTCTCCAAGGGTTTAGAAAGTTATATAACAATTTACTCGTCAGTTCAAACAGGTTTTTTTTGTTTTGTTCCACAGTTAGAGAAGATGTCAAGGACCATGTTTGAAGGCGCATCTTTGTCTGCTGCCTGAAGAATTTCTTAAACAACTTGCTGTACTAACAAATTCCAGAATTTTTTTACCCACCAGGCATTTAATTTTTAGCCTATCTTCTACCATTTCCAGAGAATACCTATTCTTACACTGTGGGTTGCATGAAGACAGATCAGATAATACAGTCGTCAGCTCTGAGATCTTAAATACACCAGATGCCTCAGATAACCTATTCCACACCTAACTTCAGGTATTGCTGAACAAAATCTCATTCCAAACAAGTATCAACGTACTTACTTTTACAGCTATTACAACGAAGAATTACTAACAAAAAGATACGTCAGCAGAAAACATGACTAAACAATGGAGAAAACAAAATAAATTACTAGCTAGGCTCCTTCTTCCTCAGCTAAACACAGATCCAGTTATATCAGGATTCACCTGTAGGCTGTAGTTATGCTAGACAGAGACAAGCTTTTGGAATTGACCAACTTCTCTATGTGTCACTGGAAACACACTAGAAACCCCAAGAAAGGTAACGGTGAAGTTTGTTTGTTTTCAAAGTTTAAATGCCATATAGCTGCAGTGGAGCATTGTGAAAATAAGGCAGAAGAAGAAACAGGAGTTTCTTCTGTTGCATTATCATTAAGCAACTAATTTAATTGAAAAAGGATGACTTCCCCCACCCTGCCACAAACAATGCATTTCATCTGTTGAACAGATGACATATTTGGAAGACTAAGTTAAAATGTGTTCTCTAATGATTCAACATCCCTAAGTACCAAAATAAATTGAAAACATAAGCCTGGAGCACAAGCAGCAAAAGGAAACTGGTTGTAGACAGCCACCAAATTTATTAAGACTAAAGAAAAGCATCACTATGTAGTGTTTGCCAAAGCCAATGGTCTCTGATGTGTCCCACAAAACAGATCCATATAGCCAAAATCAAAACTTCCAGTATTCTTTCTGTTAAGAAGCACTGCAAATTTACAAATCTAAAAAGAGCTCAGTTGAAAGCATAGAGTGAAGTGTCCTTGTCAAGTCTCAGATCAGGTCCTATTACTAGACACTATGGCTATAGAAACTACAGTAATATTAACAGCGATCTGGGAAAATTACAAAGAAAAGATCAAAGATCCAGTTTTCAAAGTTATGGCTGCATCTCATCAACACATTTGGGTTTCCTCCTTTTATACCGTACATCTGATTTACTTGCCTACAACATCAGCTTGCAGAGGGCCAAACCTCTCCTCCTGCAATCCTGCTGCACAAGGCTCCCCTGCACAGAGAATGCAGAACCAGGTTTAGTTGAGGCGTGTGAAGTTACAGCAATATTCAAACTCAGCATACGTA